GAAATTGTTTTTTTTTTTTTCGAGTTTTCTGAATTCTGAAGTGACATTTTGATTCTTTATTGCCACTTCATGATAGATTTGTGTTTTGCACCATTGTAGCTATAGCAGAAGTGGTGGCCCTCACAAAGCAGTCACAGAACGTGGGCCACAGAAAGGCATAAAGATGCGTGTGTGTGTGTGTGTGTGTGTCAGGGTCACATGGTGGCAAAGGGGACGTACGCCGAGCTGCAGCGGTCTGGAGTGGACTTCACTTCCCTGCTGAAGGAGGAGGAGGAGGAGCAACAGCCTTCTCATGACACCCCCACCAGGAGCAGAACTATGTCCCAGAATTCAGTGCTCTCTCAGACCTCTCTGCAATCAGTCAAAGATGGAGATCAGTTACCGGTCAGTGCCTCATCTGTTTCTGCTTATCAGTTTATATGGGCTTTTAATGGTTTGGTAATTTTCATCTATTTAAGTTTACTGTTATACACTGTATACATACATTGTAGTTGCTTACATATACAGTACATATTACACTTACAGTGCACAAGTTAGAGAACAAAACTTTTAGTATTTCTAATGAATCATGGTTTTACAGATCAACTTTTTCCAGCTAGTTAGTGAGTCGGCAGACAGGTCAACAGACATAACGGACATTGTGGTATTAATACTCACACTCTGCTGGTATGAAATCAGAGTGATCAGTGCAGTGGCCAGCCACCAGCCCATTTCTAATAAAGGCATGCGTTTGTGTGGTTGTTATGGAAAAAACTGAATTTCCTTTTGAATAATGAACAACCAACAGTGAGTGAGAAATAAAGAGATTTGAGAATGGAGGCGTCTTCAAGGTTGATTTATTTTTGCAGAAAGGAGTTGTCTGCAGCACACACCAGGATGCATGTTACAGAGACTTAAAGGATAAACAAGAATCACTTCAATATAAAACAGAAGATAACGTCACACAAAAGGAGGGTTCACTGAGAACAATTGTGCTTCTGTGTTCAAAGAGTTTCTAATTGGCAAAACACTGAGAGGTTCACAGGAGATACTTTGAAGGCCTGCGGATATTACAGTTGCTTCTTCCAGCAAACAAAGATATCTTAGGCATTCAGTGATTCAGCAGAAAACACAGTTCACTTGTCCAGTGTGTGGAAGGTTACCACAGTTAGTTACTACAATTGTTAGCAGACTATACTTTAATATGTAAATCAACAATATAAATGGATATACTTAAAAATGCCATTACAGTGGTAAAAGTCTTCTGTGAGGGAATGTCTTGTGCATCCTTTACCACTACACAGTGCCATAGGATGACATATTTTTTTAGGGCAGCCTAGGAGTTAGCATCACCCTGGTTCCCTCGACAAAAAGTCAGTGGGATTTCTCTATAGGCTATTCAGTTGTTGCAAAAACTAAGTTCTGTGACAAACCAAAGTTGATGACATTTACATGTTGTTTTTTTTTAGCAAGATACTCTTCACAAGTGAACATCACTTTTATGATTTTTGAAGCCCAAGTACAGTTGCCAGATGTAAAACGTTATTGTCAGGCTATAAAAGAACTACACCACGGTCCCATGCCTTCAGCATCACCACCACAGCTTCTACTGTAACTTGTAATTTGATTTTAGTACTCTCCTCTTCTACAGAATCCGTTCCTCTTAGCGTGACCTGATCTAGCTAGTGATCACGGCCGTGTCAGAACAGTCTCCATGATGACGTGTAAAATCCCAGACAGCCTATGTCTGACATTTAGCCACTTGTTAGCAACCACTTTTTTAAAGACATGTAAAAGCTTGAAAAATTACAAGTGGGGTATTTACTGAAATATTTTATGTCATACTATAAAGCGTAAACATGTACTGGCCTTGTGTTAAGCACAGACCTTAGTTCAGGTATCTAACCAAAAACTCATTCAAAAAATCCATAGACTTCAGGGCAGGGGACCAGAAGTGCAAAAATGCTAACTCAGTTCTGGGTGTTAGGACTCCCCACTGCGGCACTGTGTTTGTTCTTTGACCAGGGATTAAATGCATTCTGTGTGGTTAAAGATCTTAAAGTCTTGAACTGATTTTGGTGAACTGTGTAGAAATGATAAAAATGTTACTTTAAGCAACCTAAACAACATGATGGGCTGCTAAGGCACATGTAGTACATTGATCCTTGAGGAATACTTTGATTTCTGTAGTCATTTACTGAAACTCGGAACAGTTCACTCTGTTTTGAGACGGTGTCATTTCTCGTAGGGGTACTTATTGGACAAAATCTTTCCTGCTCATAAATGGGGCCAGTTTGTCTTCTGAATTGTTCAAGTGTACTTTGTAATATCTAAAACCATGCACTTTGACCACTTTGGTTCATGAGTTAATCCGATGTCCTTCTCACAGGCAGAGCCGGTGCAGACGTTGGCAGAGGAGAGTCGCGCTCAGGGAACCATTGGAGCGGGTCTGTATGTGAAATACCTGCGGGCTGGAGCCAGCATTGTCATCCTGCTGTTTCTCATACTGGTTAACGTACTGGCTGAGGTACACAAGCCACTTCAGATCCCTTATAAAACCTGGACAAGTTACATTTCATCTCAGTTATTTCACTTCCTATATAAGGAAAATGGCATGAACATGAAATGAAAATGATCACATGACCAGAACAAATCAGTAAATCTAATCGAGTACATGCAAACATTTAGCTGCTCCGTTGAGATTTAAGGAAATGCACTAATATATTGCTCATGCTTTTTAACTTCTAGATAGCCTACATCATGCAGGACTGGTGGCTGGCTTACTGGTAGCTATGCAAACCATTTAAAAGCAAAACTAAATGAATTCCTAGTGTTGGTCTTTTCCTCACAGCTTTGATCTTTCTTTTATCTAAATCTTGACTGATCAGGGCTGATGAACAAGAGAAGATTGACGCCAACAGTACCATGATTGAAAATGGACAGAACATCACCAAAGAGCTGAATATAGATTTCTACCTGGGAGTTTATGGAGGTCATTTGAAAACATATGTCAACCGTTAACACGTCTCCTCTGCGTGCAGTGGTGTTTCAGAACTTTAAAGAATAATCTGCTGCTTGTTTTCACAGGTTTGACTGCAGCCACCATCATTTTTGGCTTCATCCGGAACTTGTTGCTGTTCCACGTGCTGGTGAGGTGTGCACAGTCCCTGCATGACCGCATGTTCAGCACCATACTCAGGACACCTGTACGCTTTTTTGACATCAACCCTGCCGGTGAGCAAAAGTGAAGACGGTTTATTGAAATGTCCTTTTCCTGGTTTGTTTTCGCTCCAGTCATGACTCTGCTCAGTTATCACTTTTGTTATTTGATGAGACTTGTCTACTGTGTCACTTCAGGACGAGTGTTAAACAGATTTTCAAAGGACATCGGCCAGCTGGACTCCAACCTTCCATGGACCTTTGTGGACTTCATTCAGGTGAGGAAAAATCTCACTGCAAAGCGACTGCAGTGACACCACCCATAAAGCTATATCTATCATTTACATAATGGCAAAAACAGTCACTCCAGCAGTGTGATAAGGTTACATATTGCCTGAGTGAAAAGGATGGATCCGTGTCTCTTCAGCAGAAAACCAAGTTTCATATGTTAACTACGCATATGTTGTTTATCCTCGGAGCAGGTGTTTCTGCAGATTCTTGGGGTGATTGGTGTGGCATTGGTGTGGCAGCTTCAGTCATTCTCTGGATCCTCATCCCGGTGCTGCCACTCTTCCTCTTCTTCCTCTACCTCCGCCGCTACTTCCTGCAGACCTCCAGAGACATCAAACGCCTCGAGTCTACCAGTGAGTGCCCCACAATGCAACACAAAGCCTCTAGGAATATTATGTTCAGTTTGCAGAGGCAGGGCACCTGAGAAATTAGTTGAATCAAGTGACAAACGTAGTTAACTGCATATTAATATACACAGTTAAGAATATTTACATAAAGCCTTTTGTCAGTGAACTGTCAACTCCTACTCTACTCTCTACTCTTTCCTGCAGCTCGGAGTCCAGTCTTCTCCCATCTTTCTTCATCTCTTCAAGGCCTGTGGACGATCCGAGCCTTCGGAGCTGAGGAGAGGTTCCAAAAAGCCTTCGACGCCCATCAGGACCTGCACTCAGGTTCTTGTCAGCCTCATGGCCTACAGATTTACCACTGGCGCTCTTCTGAGCGGTGTCAATAACATATATTACACATACGTTCCCGCACAGAGGCCTGGTTCCTGTTCCTGACCACCTCTCGCTGGTTCGCCGTCCGTCTCGATGGCATCTGCTCCATCTTTGTTACTATCACCACGTTTGGCTGCCTGCTGCTCAGAGACCGTAAGAAAGAGCTGTAACTTCTCAATATACAACACTGTCTTTGGACAGATGTCGCCACCAGAGCCAGGATGGCAGAGAGAACTTCTCAAATCCAGCAGATGTTGTGTGAAAACAAAGACATGCTGCCATAAAACCTAGTTTTTCTCTGGTCCCATTAGAGCTGGATGCCGGCTCTGTGGGTTTGGCTTTGACCTACTCCGTCACGCTGATGGGGATGTTCCAGTGGGGCGTCAGGCAGAGTGCAGAGGTGGAGAACATGGTAAGATATACATTTAGTCTTTTATTTTCTATACAAGAAGTATTTAGATGATGATATAAAGGAATTATGTGATGTTTAGATGACTGAGTCTCTGAACTTTTCCAAGCATTTTACTTGTTCTACCATCATTCATATTTGATTCATATTTTCATTTATTTTCTGTTTTAACTGGTTTAAAAAACATACCTTCATTAACAACCACTAACAACAAACTCACCGTTCATTAGTTTGTGATTTCTGAATGGGTATTTTCCAAAAAGTTAAATATAAGTTAATATTTTTAAATGATTTTAATCCATCCATCCATCCATCCATTTTCTTCCGCTTATCCGGGACCGGGTCGCGGGGACAGCAGTCTAAGCAAAGATGCCCAGACTTCCCTCTCTCCAGACACTTCCTCCAGCTCCTCCGGGGGAATGCCGA